TCCCGGGATCCATTAGGACACTCTTATTCAATCATCGTGCGATGAGATCGCATCGTGTCATCGTACTATCGTGGCCAAATTAGGAGGGAGCCCAATCATTATTTATTGCAAAAGAGCATATACCAAAAATAAGTCATCACTATCATAAAAACTTTTTTAAAATACTCTGGAACATTGTAGATAATGTCATGACATGAAAATAGTAGATATCTTATATTAATAGCTCGTTAGTCCAGAATTTCATACAACACTCGTTTTGTGTTAGCGTTAAAGGGACTTAATTAACCTCGTTAATTAAAGAATGGGTTCCTGCTTTGACATTTAAATTGTATTCCAGTTTAATTTTATCGTGAACCCAATGAGGTCAATCAATGATAAGAGGCCTCGTGCGTCATACCTTTGGTACTAATAGGAAAACTGTTACTGTTATACATACACATTTAGGTATATCTGTGCCCATTATTAAAAAGTATTAATATAGAGCTAATATTGTTAGTATTGATGTCATTTAACATTTTATAGTGCTTTATATTTTATTTTTAATTATAATGATAATCAACTTAAGAATCACATACAACCACAGTATATATATATATTAGATTTATATTCTGTGCCTACAACGATAGGTAATGTACAGTCAACAGCACAGTGGCAAAATTTGTAGCAGTACCTAGACGACGAATTTGTAATTTAGTTTTTTTTGTACATATTTGGTTAAAATTTTCAGTAATCGATTCCTATTTTTATAATTGGCTGCTAGTCGATATATAATGTTGCTATTCAATTAGTCAATGATAGCTTAAAGGTAAGCTATGTTTGTTTACTTACGAAAAGTAGGTGTTACTTATTGAGTTATTGCTACCAAATCATACTTTTTATATGTTAAAAGGTAAATATTTCAATATGAATTTTTATCAGAACAGTTTGCAATGCAATGCATTTGAGTGATCCTTATCGGACGATTATCGATGAAAATTCAATAATAAAACGTTAACTTATTACGTACTTCTTTTAGTACCCAGTAGTGATGTAACGAATGTCATTTTTTGAACATTCGCGAATGCGAATGCGAATATTTAGTTTTTTTTTAAATTGGCGCCAATAGTCTATGGCATGGTGGCAGTCTCGTTCGAATTGCCGAGTTGATATGAACTCATCCGACTGAAGTGTAATTCTGCTCGCACCGGTCTTTCCGTAAACAAAACAAGTGAATTTTGAGGTTAGTGATTGTGAGTGGTAATAGTGATTTATTAACATGAGTAAATCGAATTCTATGTAACAATGAATATTCAAGGAAAGGCAGAACTACAACTTCTTCAAATTGTTTTTTTCTAATATTCGTATTCGCAAAACATTCGCAGAGATTTTGCGAATGCGAATGTGAATGCGAATATTCAAAAATATGCGAATATTCGCGAATGCGAATGCGAATATTCGTTACATCACTAGTACCCAGCCACAGACCTATAAGAATATAGCAGTGCACGATAGAAAACTATTTGATTGAGCTTCAAAAATATATTGGGTTTGTTTTTTGTCATTCTTCATTATTTTATCCACAACAGGCTAAATCGCAACTTCAAGTAATTTTGCGAGATGAACTTCTTTTCTAAAGCTCATATTTATTGCCGGGAAATGAAAACAATATCTGAAGTTGATACAGCAGTGTTTCTACAGCATTATTTTCTGTTGTTTATTTCATCGTATATTTAACTATTTTATCCACAAGATAGCTCCTTCTAGAAATTAAACAAGATGATTGCTTTTTGTAACGCTCATATTTATTGCCGGGCAATGAAAGAAAATTCAATAATTAACAACAAGAAAGTGTATCTAATTTAATATGGGGTTATAATTTACACACGCAAGATGTACTTGAATAAGGTTATCTTTTATTATTAACACAGAATCTCAAACATTTCCACAGAGCTTCCATTGTAATACTTAAACTATAATAATATAGTCTAGTCTAAACATTTATTCATTCAGTTGACGTGTTTAGACACATGGCAGACGCCACTCAACACCAGGCTTCAGAGTACGTTTATCAGCCCTTATCACACTTCTACCACATTCTGGTAGATAAGGAATATTAGATATAAGTAATTGTGCATTCATAGAAGTAGAACTGCATAAATGATAAAGTTTCGTAAAAATCAACAGGAAAAGGAAATTGCCAGTTAATCAGATAAAGAAAGTTTACATTGGTGTTCACTTAATTGCTAAATTAAAATAAATACTTATATGCAGTTCTAAATCTTTTGTTTATCTAGTGCAGATAATACGCAGTTACACAGGATACAGTTCAGTAAAATGAGTTGATGTTTGAGTTCCAGGGCAGATATAACTTTAGTTTACTTTAGACTTGAATATGATTATTACGATAAGTGACCCATATATTTTTAAAGTTCAAGGTTAAAAACTTTTGTTTAACTTGCTTAGTTCAATAAACAATTTCAACATTTGCATGACTCAACTCCTGCCTTTTTTCAACACTGACATTCCGTACTTTTCAAATTCAAAAATGTTTATTGATACAAATAAGATTGTCGTCATTGCTACCATATAGAGGATTTATTGGAAATTGTTCATAATTACGCATTACGGTGCGATGAGTAATAGGATTGACGTATTTATTTATTTGTTCAAGTGTCAACAAGATTACAGGCTATTTAAAATATTCATTGTTAGTGAAAGAATTTTGAATGAAACTGTAAGTTTTTTTTTGGATTATTTCATCTTATTTGTTTGTAAATTATTGAAATACCTGTCACATAAACATGTATCTTGATATTATTACCTAGACGAGATGCATTTATTTCATATTATTTCTGTTCGGTACTTAAAATAAATACCTTCTTTTAAAATTTTATAGGTATAAGAACCTCGAAAGAAAGCTTTCGGCATAAGTAAACATATACTCGTATTTAAGTACCTATTATACCTAGAAGTATTCCCAAGAAACACTTCATAGCATTTCTATAAGGTGTCGAAAAAAGGAATAAAGTTGTATTTATATGGTTTATTATTTATAAAGAATGAAATTGTGGCGCCACATGTAGAATTAATGGAGTTAGATAATTGAGTTAGTAGGCAATAGAAAATTTACGCAAAACACACGCCCGCACCGCCGATGAGTCATGGCCGCGTATATACGCGCGTATTGTATGTTGATTATGAGATTTATATCAAATATCTTGAGATATGGAAAGGGCTATGCTCAACGTTTCTCTGAAGGATCGCATCAGAAATGAGGTAATCCGACAGAGAACCAGAGTTATCGACATATCCCACCAGATTAGCAAGCTGAAGTGGTAGTGGGCTGGCCATATTTGCCGAAGAACCGATAACCGTTGGGGTAGACGAGTTCTGGAGTGGAGACCGCGTCTAGGCAAACGTAGTGTAGGACATCCTCAGGCACGATGGTATAGACTACTACGAAGTATAGACTATTTTTCTCACGGATAATGTAGCATTCTAGTGGTGAATACATTTTTGAAATCAGTCAGAACTTTTCGAGTTAATTTTTAAAAAACAAACAAATCTTTCTTCTTTATGATATTATAGATACCATTCGCAGCAAATTACCACAACCCCACCCGTGTGTAAGTGGAGTCCAGTTACGAAGATAGCAAATGCGGCAGAAGAGTGGGCTGCTCTCGCCATGTTCATCTTTTTATTAATATCTGGAAAAGGGGCGTTACACCTCCCTATCATATGAGAAGCCCGAATAGGGTATCTGAATACTTCTCCTTGCCCATTTCATCCAGACCCAAAGGCTCGATGAAATGAACAGTGTCCTACTTAGTGAACCCAGATAATACTCCTCCACCGGTCACTCGCTGAGGACCGAGGTATCCCCAATGCGTGTCGGGATTGCGGTTGAAGCAGTGGCAACCATGTTCACCTTGCCGGCCTTCACTGAATCCCATGGAATCTTGGAACCTTATTCTCCAACAGAAGCACAACAACCGAAAAGGTTGTGTCATTTACTGTGGTAAGGAAAATAAGCTATGCCCTACCTATGTTATAAATGTTTGACACATCTAATTTCATACTCACTCACACGAAGAAACTCATTTAAACACAAAATAATTCTCAGAAGTGAAAAGAAACTTTAACCTAGACCTTTTCAAGAACACTTCACATATTCAATTATTGACGATCGAGGTGGGTGCCAGGTAAGTATTCGTGCCTTATTCCGCCTTGATATCATCGATAAGCGGGTACAAACATGTTATCCAATTCGATTTTTTTTTTTGATAAAGTTGACTTTATCTCTAATCTACCGAATCGCTAAAAACATCTTCACTGTTATAGCCAAAGACTAGTATTGTATATGGTTATAGCTGCATTTGACCTTTCACGAATTCACGATATATCTACCCACGAAGGCGAGTAACGCATGTAGGAAACAGAGGCCCAAGCACGAATTTTGACAGCTCCGTCCGTATCACATCGTCAAAGTATATACGAAAACTAAGCAGCGCCCCTATCGGACGTAAGAACAAACCAGCACCTTCAATAACATTTATTCAGTCTAGGCTCTTACAAGCACTTGTGAATGTCAAGAAGCTACGCCATCGGTTCGCAAAACTACGGCAGGAGGCCTTGTACTGAGAAGAAACACAGCAAGTGCTGTTATTTTCTCCCTGTATTGTTATATGTACAAAGTCGTCAAGTTGAAAATGACTTCAGAGATACTTCTGAATTCACCTTCCATTATCATGTCATCATGTAGAATATATATAGTTACAATAAATTTGATTGTAAACTTTATATTTAGTATATAGGAAGCGGCATTAGATAGGCATCATATTACTGTTATGAAAAATGATTAAATGGGTATTAATTACAATTAACAAATTACAAGAAACTCTATGTCCATGCATTACGATCATTTAGATAATCATCAACTTTATTACGGATCGTGCTGTCATTTTAGGTTAAACAAATTTATATTAAAGGTTTTTAAACTGCATGTCAGGTGGAATACTTACGGTTTTAGACACGATGTGATCTTCTTCTAAGCAGAGGGCATGCGTCTCCCATCGCCTGAGGAACTTGGCGGTGAGGATCTTGACGACGACGGTCCTCGTGTGCTGGAAGCAGCAGACTCTCAGAGAGCCTTCGGTGGCCAGCTTGTACCGAGGGCCGGGCGGGGGAGCCGGCGTGCCTGTAGGACCTTCTAGCCCTGCATTGTCTGCGCAGCATTCCGGACTGGAGCCCTAGTGACAATAAAAGTTTTCTTTATTATATTTTAATGTGAGCATTATTCTGCTTGAATCTAAAGAATATTTTTATTGAAAAAAAAAATCCCATATGGCTAGATGTCAGACAGGATTCGAACTTGCATCTTGTCTGCTGTACGTGTGGATGCACTATCCGTTAATAAAAATCTGTTAAGATGACGGTCCAACAGTTACCTATATAGATGTTCGGTAAAAAACCTAATAAGGCGAAAAGTTCCAATGTTAACATGTATGTCTTTGGCTGTTATTTCTCTCTTTCTATCTATTATCTAATACTTGAACTGTCTTACTTTTTATATGCCAAACAAAAAAAAATCTATTATACCTATTTATTTTAAGATTTTTAAATTGGTGTGTGTGCTTGGGAATTCCTAAGCACACAAACAAAAACTGTAAGAACAGATTTATTTAAATCTTCACCATCTCTTCTGCGCTTCATATTTTATAGGAAAAAGTAATAATGTACGCAAAAAAGTAATATTTTCCTAAAACTGAACGTGTATCATTAAAATTGTTGATGACATTAATATCACCTAACTTCTTTCATGCTACTAATTTCTGAATGCAAATTCGGCTTAATAAATGTAGTGCTAATGAGAAAATTAATGATAAAATATTTTCTTCTATTGGGGCCACAGATTTGTTTCGGGAAAATACCAGCGTCACTTACACAGCACAAACAAATCTGCTTCAATTCTCACTAATTGGAATACTTCGTTAACTTTAAACCAATGAGTACATTGTCGTTAAACTAAGCCTAAACTACCTTGGCGAATTTATAATAGAAATAGAAATCGCTTCTCACTTAAAGAAAGAAAATTATACCTACACGACAAATGCATAAAGACTTAACAGTGAACTTCTTTTAAATTAACAATAGTTTATTTAACGCATTACGATAAACATCCGTCATTTAGTTAATTAAGTGGGAAACGAAGGAAATACTAACACATCAGCAATATGTAGGTAAAAGTTCAAAGTTCGGCGCTTCACTTTAGATATTGCTTTGTTAATAATTAAAATACCGATCCAATTTGCCCAAAGTTGCTTTAAATTTTTGGGGGCCATTTATTTTACAAAACGCTTTATTTTGATGACTAAATAAATTTTGATGATTTTTTTCGGTATGATGCGATAATCTATCATTTAAATATTTGTAATTTTGATAATACCCAGTGTCCTAACGACACTTAACAAGCCGTCCTAACGTAATATACGTCATCTTCAGACGCAATCGGTTAAAATAATTCTTGTATCTATAGCTATTATAGCGAGACTTTGAGGTTAGGCGGAGGCTTTTAATAACGAGATAATGGGGCGAGGAGGGGGGACGACGACATTATTTTTGTATTATATGATTATTATTATTTAATTACCTTGTTAGCTCGTTATTATTGGTCAATAATATCGGATGCATTATTGCAATATCTGTTTTTAGTACATTATGTATTAAGACGGATACTAAACAATAACGACGCAATTGAAGTATGTCGAAATATCGCATGGCTCACAAATCGGAGTCTTTATGCTCCATTTATTAGAAGAAATTTGGGTTCATTAATTTATTTTGTTTTTTTTTGCAGTGAGTAAAGTTGCTAGTTATAACTCTATGGGTTGGATAACGGGGTCAGTGATGGTTGATGTCTGTCGGCTGCCTACTATCGTTAGGTGGGTCGATGGGCTAGGGAGCCACTTACATCGTGAATGTGGTTCTTCAAAGTGGTTTGCATTGTCTCTTAAGTAAAAAAAGAAATAATAAGCATTGTTAACTTTCCGAAATATTGTAGAATTTTTCTTTTTTACATTTTTTTTATCGATAGAAATAAGTAAAGTAAAGACATTAGAAAACTTTAACAAGAGATGAATGAAATCGGTACCTTATAAATTAAAAAAAAACAATCTTCTGTTTTTAAAACATATTATCTGAACTTAATAGTACCTGTACCTGTAGCTTTGTTTTTATCTTTCCACTTTTTTAGTTTTCCAGTTTTAATTTAATTTTAAAACACCTTCAATAAAAAAGTTAATTCAGTTCTCCTCTAACTCAACAGATGGCGTTAGTAGTACACAAAACTTTAATTAGATACATTGTTTTAAAAGATTTTTAGTAGATTTTAATAAATAATTATTTCCTATATTCTCTTTTGATAACCTATTAGTACTATAAAATAAAGCACAGACTCAGAAATGCGTCGCCTACAATAGACAAAATAAATTGGTATGCGTAAAAAGCAGAAATGAACCCAATTTACACAATACGTATAGCAGGTTTCACCGAGTCTTGATTGCCATATGTAAAAACAATAATATATAATAACATATATCTTTATAACTGTGTTCAAAAGATTAAGTTCACTAGTATACATCAGAACAACTAAACGTTATTATATTTTATGTACGACAAATAAGGTAGGTACGAATAATTACATCATACGTGCCTGCCGCAGGGATGCTGCGTTTACGAAATGTATCGCTATGACGTCAGAGCTAACCTTGTGTTTTAGATTCCACAAACAAATGATTGTAACATGATACAAATATAAGGCTATCTGTTTGTTATTGTTGTGCATTACCTTTTGTGTACTGAACACGGCTTCGCGGGAAACCTTGAGCGTGATAAAAAGTATCCTGATTAATATAAACATTACAATCAATCATATAATGTTATCGCTATATCTTATTGATTTCTTCAAAGTAACGTGTTCGACATACCTCTCAAAACTGATTAAAATAAAACACAAACTAATATAGGTACACAAAGAACGCTTACAAAACAGTTGATGATGTCTCAAAAATACCATGTGTAAGATAAGACAAACTGCTTTTTAAATGGCATTTGATTAAAAATAAATCTCAAGCTTGATCGGAGATGATATCAGCTTAATAAATGAGCTACTAAATTTAAAATAAGTAAGGATCGTGAATGCCGCATGTGATACAAGTTGTTCACGAAGTGTCTTTGTTCATTGACCCCGGCTGCGGCACAGCGAGACCTACATAGTAGCCAGCCATCGCAATGACGTCATAGCACGATTTGGGTCATGGGGGCACTGCAACAGACGCCGAGCCCTCGTTCGAGCACCGCCGCGCCGTGCGCCGATCCGATGGAGGCACGACCCGTTTCTCAGTCTTGTGTTCCAATAGGAGCCGGTGACCGAAATTTTCTTCGTAGAAATGTCACCTAGAGTAGATGTAGGTACTTGTTACTCAAGGAGGATGCCGGTTGTCCCCACTGTGGTAATGACCATATTTTATTTGCTTGCCCTAAATTTTCATTACAGCGTTTATTAACTGGTAACAGAATTATCTGAAATTATGTAATTTGCTATCATTGTAGTAATTTTAATAGAAATAAAATACGAAAAATTGACTATTGTAAGAAAATGCCTGTCATCATTTATATGACATATGTCGATTTGGTCAAATATAGCCCTGGTCCCTCAATAAAAAAAATATTTTGATCGGCCCTCAATATTTTTGAAAGATCCATCTTAGAACCCTCGACACCCTGGGGGTTTTATTTTATGCTATAAGCATTACTTGTGCATCAGCGAATACCAAAAATATAAAACCCGACTGCGAAAAAATCTCGCGAACTGTAGGCAACCGTCATGGTTTTTAACCGCGTGAGTTTGTGCGTCAAGGAAATTAATATAAAAGTTTGCACTTGTGGTTTTTGCTCGCGCCGTCGCGCCTGATTTAAAATTTAATTGCACAAAATGGCAAGCGGGTAAAAACCGCGCACAATTTGTACCTAATCCAGAGAATTTTGTTGTCAGGACGCATTGCAGTAGGTTGTTTGTTTTACACTGGTAACGCAACCTGCTGCACTGCACTATTCAACCGAGCACCCGCCATGAAGTATTAAAACAAAAAAAAACGCTATATTGATTGAAATCTATTTGGTATTGGATGACGAACGAATTCGTATCGTTTGCGAGTCCAAAATGTCATTGTCAAATGTGTACTGATTTTAAGTTCTCGTTACGTACTTTGTGTTCACTGCTGTTAAAGTTTATATACAAAATTTGACATTGACATTTCGGTTTGCAAACTATTCGAATTCGATAATGGTTCGTGCTAGGGGTACTGTAAAACCACCCCTTTATCGCTAGCTGAAAAAAGAGTAGTGCGGCTTTATCCTTATACAAATTGTAAGATGATTTGAAATCCCTAGTGATTTTGGGAAGATGCAGATAATTAGACAATAGCACTGATATTTTTTAATCTTACTGTAAAAAGATAGGATTTAGAGTCGCCTACCGAAAAAAAGTCGTTGACTTATTACACATATTCTTAGGTTCACACTAGTTTAGGTAAGGTCAGTGTTATGAACATAAAGTGCGAGCCGAGCGAGCGTAGCGAGCATGCCACGGCAGCATCCGTCAAAGTGCCAAAAAAAATTCTTTCACAGTCAGAATGAGCAATGCCATCGTCATTGCCTATTTTTTTCGCAAATAGAAGCTAGTAGCGGCTAGATAACATTTTCGCTTATCAGTTGACATCGACAACGCGCAGATCCCGTTTTTGAAAGCCTATATCACCGGGACTAAGTTTACCGTAAGTGTACCCTGTTCGATTGGCCGCGCACTCTTATGTAGACTTAGGTAATTAATAGAATACCTATATAGTTTGTGAAGTTGAATCTATGGCCCAAGATAAATCAAGAACCTTTCAGTTCTCTCAAAATTTATGCCAACCCAAATAAATAAAGTAACTGGGAAAATTGAGGGAAAGCGACCCAGAGGAAGAAGCCATACTTTCTGGACCGACCAAATCCGCCCCGCTCTCGACACTTATTGCATTATAATAATCATAATTAAAATCATTTATTCAGTTTAGGCTGTTACAAGCACTCATGAATGTCTAGAAGCTACACCATCGGTTCGTAAATCTACGGCGGGAGACCTTGTACTGAGAAGAACCGGTAAGTAAGGGCTGTTTTTTTTCTCCCTGTTTTATTATTAACAGAGTCG